GTTATGATTGGTAAGTAAGGACTTACTATTGCCATTTTGTTGCTTATTTTCTGGTTGTTACTCCTTTCTTCCTTTCTTGCTATCTTTCTTTGTGGTGAAGTGATTTTCTCTTGTAGTATGCTTTAATTTGATGCATTTCATTTTTAGTGAATATATTATAGATTTTGTATTCTGGTTACCATATGGCTTACAAAAAAACATCTTATAGATATGTTATTTTATGAAGACCTTAATCTATATTAGATGATAAAGAAAAGAATAAAAATAAGGAAAATATTTTTTAAAAGCTTTTACACTTTATCCCTCTCACATTTTTATTTCAGCTATCTTAATTTACATATTGCTTACATTTTAACAGTTTCTGTAGCTATTATCATTTTTGATAGCTTTGTCCTTTAGGCTTCATACTAAGTTATGAGTGGGTTGAACATCATAATTATAGTATTAGAGTATTCTGGGTTTGTCTGTGTACTTAATTTTATCAGTGGGTTTCATACCTTCAAATTTTTTTATTTGTTTGCTTTTTAAGTTTTTTTTTCATGTTAGTGTTTTTTTCTTTCAGATCAAATAATTCCCCTTAGCACTTCTTGTAAAAGGAGTCTAGTGTTGGTGAATTCCCTCAGCTTTTGTTTGTCTAGGGAAGACTTGACCTCTTTTTTATATTTAAAGGATAACTTTTCTGGATACAATATTCTTGCATGGCGGTGTTTTTCTTTCAGCACTCTGGAAGTGTTGGTCAACTCCATCCTGGCCTATATGATTTCTATTGAGAAGTCTGTTACTAGATGAACTGGAAGTCCTTTGTATGCTATTTGCTTCTTTTCTATTTCTGTATTTTAGTATTTTTCTCTTTGTCCTTGACTTTCGGGTGTTTGATTATTATAGTCCTTCGGGTAGTCTTATTTGGGTCAGGTGTTCTCTGACCTTCCTGTACCTGGATATTTATCTCTTTCTCGAGTTTTGGAAAGTTTTCTATTATTATTATTCTTTGAATACATTTTCTATCCCTTGCTCTTGCTCAATTCCCTCTCAAACACCAGTAAGTCAATTTTCTATTTTAAGGTAACTTTCTATATCTTGTAGGAAACCTTTGTTGATTTTTACATTTTTTTTTCTCCTCTGATTGTGTATTTTAAAATAGACTGACTTCGAGTTCACTGGTTCTTTCCTCTCCTTGATCTGATATGCTGTTGGGAGCCTCTAATGAATTTTTCAGTTCAGCAAATGTATTTCTAAGTTCTAAGATTTCTGTTTAATTTCTTTTATTATTTCAACTTCTTTGTTAAATTTTTTCAGTGGATTTCTGAATTGTTTTTCTGTGTTATCTTGGAGACCACTGAGTTTCCTTAAAACTACTATTTTGAATTCTTGGTCAGAGAGGTCACAAATCACCGTCTCCTTAGTGTTAGTTTCAGGTTCCTTGTTTTGGTCCATTTGGGAAGATTGTGGTTCTGTTTGCTTTTGTTTCATGTGGGTCTACATATGTGTCTTTGCATTA